AGGGGGGGGGTCTGGGGCGCGCCGCTCCGCGGAGGCAGGCGCTGGGGGCTCTCCTGCGCCCAGCAGCTGCGGGAGCTTTGCAAATTGCAAGGAGGCTCTTGCAGAGCTTGTGAACCCTCCTCTCCCGAGCCAGCGCCCCTCCTCTGCAGCGCTGACGGTACAACGATATAATAATGATGGGTGGCTGAGGCTCGCATTTGAACTTGCAGGCGAGCTCCCTGTGCCTACAACTCGGTTCAGGCTCCGCAGCTCCGAGTCAGGTGCTCGCCGGCGGGGAGGGAGGGGAGGCCGAGCTCTGGGAGAAGGGGAGACCCCGGAACCACCGTCTCCTTCCAGCACTAACGAGGGGATTTACTCTTTCATGCGGCCACTGGGATCTCTGGACTAGCCTAGCCACCACGTTGTGATTTTTTGCAATCTCTGCAATACGCTACCTTTTAAGGTAACTATAACTCTTTTAATGCGGGTTGGGTTTTTTGTGGGGTTTTTTTGTTGTGTTTTTTTTTTTTTTCCCTTTACATATGATTGCCAGCAAACACCTAGTATAAGATTTAAAACGATTGTTTTACTGCTGGTACCTGTAAGGACAAAGAGTTGAACCGCAAACCTTAAGCGGGAGAGAATAGCGATGATTGGTGAATTTAAACAACCTGGGGTAAGTTCAACGACACGCGAGGGGAGAGCAGAAGGGATGCTCGGGGACCCACAAAAATCCCCTGGTGCAAAGAGGAGAACAAAGAACAGTAGGAAATAAAAGACTTTGGGGTGGGAGCCCTGACAGAAGTCTTTGATACTGGTTGTTTGAATGGCCGGGAAGGTAGAGCTGCACCTTGGTGGGCGATGGGGCTCAGGAGGGAGAAAGAAGGAAGCTGTTTCCTACGGGTGTTAAATACACAAAGCGCCCGTGTGGCAGGAGCGACAAGAATGGACCTTTCCTTCGGCCACCAGTTTTTGGGTTGGTGGTTTTTTTTGGTGGTGTGGTTTTTTTTGGTTGTTTGTTTTGTTTTGTTTTGTTTTTTTCTCCTGGGAAAAGAGTGTGCTTAGTCTCCTCCGCTTTTGTGTGTTCCCCCCATCTTTTTTTTTTTTTTTTTTTTTTTCCCCTTCCCTTCCCCTGATGTTCTTGGAAAGCTGCTCACAGGGCAGAGCGGGGCTGAGGTGCTCAGACAGCATCTCTCCAGAGGAGACGGAGAGCAGGCGTCCTCTGAGCCACATTTTCAGTGCTGAAAGGGGGGCGGTGGGTGAGGAGGAGAATCACAAGGTCAGTGGAGCAAAACGCCCCCTTTTACACCCACGGCCAGCTTCTCGGGGCACGGGCACTGCCTTCCCCCTCCGCTCCTCGGGATTTCGCCTTTGTTTTACAAAGAAAAAGTGAGAGCATCGTGGAAGGAATTAAGGGAGTTTCGACGGCGGGAAAAAGCGGGTGGGTGTGTGTGGGGGGCGGCATCGGCAGAGGGTCGGGATCCCCTCGGCAGGGGATGGGACCCCGGGGGCAGCCTCCATCCGGCCCCCAGGCACCGTCCCCACACAAAGGGGCGACGGGGAGCGGGCGAGGGCTGGGGCCAGCCCTCATTGTCCCCCATGTCACGTCCTCCCCGGCCACCCCCTCTGCCTCCGGGCACCGGCTTTCGGGATTAAGCCCCGATGGCTTTTCTTTTCTCCCCCCCCCCCTTCTTTTTCTTTTTTTTTTCTTCTTTTTTTTTTTTTTTAAAGGAATGAGTGTTGAAACGTGTTGCAGAAGCCTATCCCAGGATAGAAGAGTGTAAATGCTGGGTGTGTTTCGTTTGGGTTTTTTGTGTGTGTGTGTTTTTTCTTTTTTTTTTTCTTTTTTTTTCTCTTAAAAAGGCTGAGCGAAAGGGGAAGTTTCCTTCCCCAAAGAAATGAGTAAGATTTGGCGGAGCGAGAGGGGCGCAGCGCCCGGCGGGGAGCCCTGGCTGCGGCGACGATGCGCGCTGGCGGGGCGGACCCGGCCGCCCCCGGGA